TACGCTTGGGGCGACGAAGGGACTTGGACATTGTTGTTGGAGATTCGATGCTCTCTTGGCTTTCGTTGGTCTCCCACCTAGACTGTGTTCGGTTTTCGCCGCTGAGGCTTCGGCGTTGATTGCGCTCCCTGCGAGAGATGCGTCTGCGTTTGCGTTCGTGACCTGCGGCATTGTCGTCGACGAAGGTTGCATCGTGAGGGATGGCAAGGACGCTAAAGAAGGCTGCGAGGGGGTTCGACATGATTTTGATTCAGGAATTCAGGAACTTGATTTTGTGAGCGAAAAGTAGACTGGGATGGGCATGGGGAACGGCAAGCTCTGGACGGTGACGAAAGCCATGAAACACAGCCAGTTGCGGCCAGGCTTCTCCATTCGAGATGTGTATTTTGTTCCCCTCACGCGTCACACTCATACCACTGGCGTCTAAACGGTATCGGGCAAGATGTTGAAGGCTGGAAACTATGAATGACCGACCACCACCAACTGGGTCAAAGAGTGTCTAAGCGTTGTCACGGCCATAGCCCAGTATGACTTCAGGCTTTAGTCTTCGACGAGGCTGTACTGTACTACAGTACTACAAGTACCAAGGACCCTGAGTACTCAGTACTGGTACACTCATGTACGTAGTACGTACGAATACGGTTGCAGGCCTACTACAGTAGTAAGTTTGGTAGATGGACCCATTTCGGATGACTTAAAAGACACGGTTATGTGCTGGGTCTATGGGACGGATGGGGCATTTGTGTTTTACTAAAACCGTTTCCATTGGATCTTGATGTGACCTGTAATTATTGTTTGACTTTCCTGAGGGTTCAGAAACAGTTCACAAGAGTGGAGTGCTGAGTGACAACATACCAGTACGGTACATCATCAACACGAAAGATCTGATTGTTTCACACACAAAAAAGTTGTTCACAGTTTTTAGGTTGCATCTATTCGACAGGTTTCAGTGTTTTCAGTGTTTTCAGTGTTTCAGTGTTGCCGAACTTGCCCAAGCTTCTACGTACATGTACTTGCACCTGCGAAACCTAGTCTTTAAAACCTATCCGAACCGCAAGTTCATTGATAGTACCAAACCTCCGATTCTTCGCTTCTAATAGCTAGCTAGCTAGCTAGCTAGCTAGACAATACTATCCCGTTGATTATCCACTGACGGCTGAATGACCTTCGTGCCGTAGCACGTACAAAGCACGATGAAACAGTCTCGTGGTTGGCTGATCGTGTGCATTGCTTTGCAACAGTCGATGGATGGAAGGCAATCAATCAACTAACCCCCTTCCGCCAACACTGGGTGGGCGGCGAGTGGGTAGCTACAGTACCAGCTAGTTGCACGGCTTGCTTTGTCTAGACAGCAACGGAACAATCCCTGCCTGTTACTTCAACTTTTCATCGGGTGTCTAGTTTGAGCTATTATCGATCGGATCTGGCACCTGCAGAACACCCAGCAAGCTGGGTGCATTCTCCTCCCAATTGGCCCCTGGCTGGCTGGCCAGCCAGCACAAAAGTCTTGAGGTTTGAAGCAAGCTCAGGTTGCATTCATGCATCTCGTTCACTCTCTTTTAGTTGATTCGATTCCTTGCGTCGCTTTCGGCCTTCCTAATCGATGGCTGATACTTTGCTTTGCCCACCAAGAAAACCGCATTCTCCTTGAAGTGTAATTTTTACCCGCCACAGAGCGGCGAGTACTAGCGGTGGTACCACCTAGATAGAGCGAGAACTACTTGGTGTCTTTGCTAGCGTTGCTTCCTGGATATGCAAATGCATGTAGGTATAATGTTCTGGCTGGTAGAGCGCTGACTCACTGTCGTAGTCGTTGCTTCAGCCAGTGGTTTCGTCCAAGCCATGCTTCCAGCCACTGTCCAGACCAGGGGAACCAGAAATCCTTGGGACAAAAACAAGAAGCGGCAGGAGCCACCATCTCAAATGCGTTTGCCACTGATCTGGCTGTGGAGCGATGCATGCTACCGGTGTGTGACTTGATTGCATCGTGAAGGCCCGGCCGGAAATCAATGCTTGGCAGTCGGCAGTCGTTGCTCGAGTCGATCAGAGAATCACGAAGAGTTTGCTCTTTCCGATTGTGAAGTTTCCAGACGGCCACTAGCTAGCCAAGCCCCAGGAAGAGACCTTGACAGTGAAGACGCTTGTATCATCCATCGCAAGTAAGTGACGACTTTTCCTCTGGGACTACCGGTAGATCGTAGAGTCAAAATTAGTTGGGTTCTAGTAGTGTATAGTTTATGAGTGTATAGTACAAATGGTATGTAAATATGAATGGAACACCATCGCTGGCTGGCGAGAATGTTCAGTTTGGAGATGTGGAGATGTGGAATAATCTTAATGTGATTGGCTCCCCTGCCTGGACAGTTGACACGGCTGAGGGATCATGGTGACAGAAGAGCCAGACCCAAGGCGATTGAGTGATGGGGCGATCTTCCAAGAAGATGCTAGCTTGGGTGTGTCGTGTTCGATTGATTCCACTTCTTGAGTGGTGGTCAACTGGGGGGCGCAGGGCTTTCGGAGAGCCGATGCCAGAGCCATGGCCTTTTCCTCGTAGAACTTTGGATCGGGAGTGACTTGTCGTTGAGGGAGTCGAGGGGGCTGAACACGCATACTAGTCTTGTAGAAGTTGACATCCGGAGTGACTGTGCGTTGAGGGAGACTGGGAGGCATGACGACGTCGTCGTCCTCATCGTCGTCGTCGTCGATCAGGCTCATTTTGGGCCGGCTTTGCCACCGTTTGAGGCTGTCACGTTGATCCAGGGCTGGTGGAGCTTTGGGAGCATGGCCAGCAGCATTGTCACTGATCAAGGTGGCATCAGAAGCAATGGCAAGGCCACTCAGAAAAGCACCGAGAGGAGTGATGGCAGCAGACATGTTAACAAGGGACTATTGTTGGTGTGGGTGTCTGGAGCTTTTGACGCTTCTCGAGATTGTGTTCCCAACATCCATCCCAACATCCCAACCAAGCAAGAGGAGGAAACTCGGTTGGTCAGGTTTGGGGCCATTCGGCACAGCCATGGAGAAGCCAGTGGAAGTACTACTTGTACCACTTTGTTTACAGCAAGCGCAATGACCGCCGAATGACTTGAGGTCACAGTACAGTTCTCTCTAATCGTAATAATAATAGTATTATTTATGGTTAGAAGTGCACTTTCTTGCTTTAATTAATAATGGATGGCGACAACACACGTCTAGATAAGTTGTCCAGGTATTCTAGTTTCACCACTGAGCACTGATTACTACATTTACTGTACATATCCTCGTAGTACATGTACTGGTACCAAAAACAAACTTTGTCTCGATGCTGCCAAGTTTGATCGATGATTTAGAGCTCATTGAACCCTCCGACCAGCAGGAGAACATTGAATCACATTGAGTCATAGATGAGTCATTGCGTATTTTGGAGGGGGTTGAAGCCGCTGAAGCCAAAACGCCAAAACCCTTGGTTGCAATCCAAATAAATGTATCGTACCAGGGCTACTAGTTTCGTTTAATTAAAATAGCCATCCGATTGTCTTGTTCAACCGTGGCTGCGAAGATGCCTTCGCCTCCTCTGATTACGGCTACCGACCAAATCATCAAGCCCACCCTCTCGATGAGACATACGGTAGACGAACCATTGGAGGACTACTGGACTGTAAATCGTCCGAAGATTCCTTGCGTTCAATAGAAGCAAGTGCTGAAGTACCGCTCTACATATTCAAACAGCGACCACTAGCTAGTACAGTGTACCTTACTAATATACCTTACTACCTCAAGTTTAGCAACTGTGGATGGTTTGGCGCTCTCCTCGAACCTTATGCGTCTCGATGCTTTGCTGCTCTCTTTTACAGACAAGTTAGTTCAACGAAAGTTCGATGTGAGCGACGATCGAAGTGTGACTGGGCTGTGTCTGTCAAAAGATACTTCGGCAGAACTTTGGGGCCACCATGTTCCTAGTAGCTAGCTAGTGAAGCCAAGTTTGACAGCTGCACAAGTAAGTGCTGGTTGCATCATGGCATTGTGCTTTCTCCAACGCCTTGCTTGGGACTTTCGTGATTCCTCTCTAACCTGGCGCTATAGGAGGTGTTGCAGGTTTAGCTATGCGGAACTGGGACACGATACGGTAGGGTAGAACCAAGCAAGTCTCAACAAAAGCTGATACCTACCGGTATGCTGATTGAGGGTGTCATGAGCGAATAGTGTGGTGGGGCTTCCAGTAGCAGTTGGCGGGAGCTGAGTCCGACCAATGCCATTCTGGTAGCATCTGGCTGGCTGGAAACATTCCACCGCACCAAAGCTGAGCTAAACCAGAAAGACCATGAATGGCGCCCACTACGAAATGCTCCTCAAATAGCCTGCTGTACCTTAGGCCGATCCGGGGTGACAAAACGGGCTTTCCTATCCCATTCCTCGTGTTCACCTTCAACTGATTGCCTGCAGTGTCAACCAGCCCGAAAGCACGCATGACACCTGTCATTGTGAAAACAATCCAGTTCAGGGCATGGCGGCGACCATACCTGGAGAGTCTGGTAGTACCGTAGTGGATAGTCCTCTGGGTTGGGCTTTCTCGTGGATCTAAATCAAATCGGAAGACGAAAGTCATCAAACGGGAGCAGGATTCGAGATAACCGGAACAACATCCAAATGCCTCTCCCAGTATCCATTAGTTAGGGGGGAAAGAGGACTTGCCACAGTCCACTTCTATTAGTACGTAACTGTTTACTCGTCTTGCCTGGCAGAACACCTCGTCCATACCGGTTTGCCCGCATGTAGAAGAGAGACTCTCCTTTTGGGAATGACGGTGACGAGAGACTGGCTGCCTGAGAAAGGAAAGCAGTTGGTTCGGGTGGATGCGCAACATTGCCATGGAGATCGCTTCTGACCAGGAGTACGGTATGTTTATGGCTATTCCTTCTACTAGCTAGTAGCTAGCTAGAAGTAGCAATGTGCTGCTGCCGTATTGCGATCAGGAACATGGGTGACTTGGGTGTGCTACCGTACCGTACAGTTCCTTACTGCGCGAGTGAGGTATGGTTGTTACAGTTTAAGTTCTGGGGTGACTCATAGACTCTCCGCCCTTCAAGAGAAGAACGGAGCTGACAATCTGCCGCACGGCCCGTGAGGAAACGGAACAAGGCAATTCTCAGGTAGGGATAATGCCTGCATGAGGATTTCGCTGTTGTGGATATGAGAAATCTTGACTTTGCTAGTGTTACAAGCTTCTATGGATGGTACCGGTACACGGATTTAAATAGTATACATCATGTTGGGAGCACATCAAAATTCGGATCTTTTTGAATGTGGGTAGCTTTTCTGCTTTTCTCCCGTTGCGTTTACGCAGCGCTCGATTGGTAATTCTTGGGTCGCTGCGTTCCAGCAGCCCTGTTTCGATATCGATGTGCGTCTTTGGCAATCCAGCCCATAGATCGACACGGCGGACTGGACCCACGAGACGGTTTGCTTGTGAAAAAGCTCTCAGTTTCACTTTCGGAGGTACTACTACTGGACAGGGTGCTACATGTACCATCGCTGGATGATGATACTGCTGTGCCAGTGGTAGCATCATCGTCTCCTTCCAGTTCTGTACTGTGTCTCCGTCTCGGTCTTCTCAACGTCCGCATGGATTTGACCTCTTGAGAATCAAGTTTCTTCTTGGAATCCTGATGATGTTGCGAGGGCAAACTATCCCACCGACATATCCGATGCCTAGATGCGCTGCCGCTGCGATCCAATACAGATCTTCCATTCTTGGTCTTCTTGCCATGCCCCACGGCGTTGTCTTGGACAACCTCAATCTCTGCTACCCCATTCTCAAAGTCACTTCCAGCGAGTAATTGCGAGAGGAAGGACCCCATAGCACTCTGTTGCTCTGACAACGTAGAGCTCATCGTAGCAGTCTGTTTATTATGGTCAAAGCAGACTGCAATAGCGGCTGGTTTTACCGGTATGTACTTCCTTGTGCACCTTGTACTAAAGTGGGAGTTCGAGGGGGCGAGGAAGCTGCTCGATTATTAGACATCCACACGGAAACTGGCAGCGCCCAGGAAGTAGATCTGGGCAAAAAGGCGATAGAGGCGAGCCAAGAGAATGGAATTGCGGGATTGAAGCTTCTAATTATAGTAGCCAGCTGTACTCCACCCTACATCTCTCGGTCGTTAAGTAATGGCGCTTCATGTTCGCATACAACCACAAAGCCACAAAGACCTTGCGAAAGCAGGACTGGTATGTAAGCGGTCCTCAGTAATTGGGGCAACGTCACTACTTTACATTGATTTTGGCGGAGACGGTTGTATATCTTGGCTGGTTCTTAATTTTAACATGCGAAATGGCTAGAATCACCACATACACGGACGTGACCGCAACAGGCTGAGGCCGTCAGCTTCATTTTCCTCGCTTTGATGCCACTGAATGAAGGACTACATAGCATTTGGATTGTTTCTAACTAGTAGATTATGCTCTGAGTAACACTTGAAGGATTGAATAAAAAATCGCGACCCGTCCCACCGTCAAGCAACTACTAGCAAAACAAGACGTGTGTTTGTCCTGCCGTAGTACATTTAGTTTGCTTTTAGTTTGTGCCTTCTAGATGAGCAGCGATAATTTTGTCCACTATAATTACTGGATAGACATCTAGTCCTTCGTTTAAAAGCGGGCTATGGTCCGTTGTCTGTTCTTCACCATGTACTAGCTAGTACGGGGGACTTACTCTTTGCATGGGCGGTGCCTTGGCCCCATGGAGGTAACTTCTTATCAGTGCCATCAGATACGTACATACTTCGGCTACGCTGTACAATCAGCTCGATGGCTTCAAACTTACCGGTACTTTCAAAACCGCTTTTGCAATGTTCATGAGGTGTTTTTTTAAAAAGAGTGGTTGTTGAGGTGAAAATATTATTATCACTCGAGATTTCCGTAAAAGCTCCCATAGGGTATAGGGTACTAAGGGCATTCTCTAGTAGATTCGTTCGTCCTAAAACTCGTTCTAAGTTTATTTTAGAACGAAAATTTAGGACAAAAGCAATCTTTAACTCAAAATCGTCCTAAAATTCGTTCTATTTTTAGGACGAATTTATTTTCTCCGTCCTATTCCTGAGAAATAGGACGAATTATTTCGGCTCGTCCTAACACTCGTCCTATTGTTTTCTTTAAATCTTTCAGTCATTTGAGTCATATGACGTTGAATGACATCATCCACCATCAAGTTAACACGATTGACTGAACCACTCGACTCGACTCTGTTAACTCGCTACTACGGGTAGCCACCGTACGGTAGGAGTAGCTAGCTAGTAGATAACAAACTCAAACAGAAATTAGTATTGTACTGCACCACAGACCACAGAGGTGCTTCGTGGGAAGCTCCTAGCCACACTATCAGGACCATGTTAACAGGCTGACAGAGGAGAGGTGCATGCGGGATGAGTTTTAAGACCAGCTTTTTAGAGACTGAACTCGTCCGTCCTAAAACTCGTTCTATCTTAAGTCTGGTTTTAGAACGACTTATTTAGAGATTGCCAATTCGTCCTAAAAACTCGTCCTAAGTTTAGGACGAGTAGCTTAGGACGATTTTTAGAACGAAAACTACTAGAGAATGCCCTAACAGAACCAGCTGCCAGTTTAGTCAATAAGTCTTGACTTCCCTATTGGTGCCTTCAGTAGTGGGGGGTGGATTCTCATTGTGTGTTTGAATTGCAATGCCAGAATGCCAGGCACCATTCCTTTCGTTCCTTCCCCTGCCCTTTTCACACTTCACACTTACTTCACACTTACTTCAGCTCTTCTTACTTCACAGTTCGCACAATAAACCGGTACATCATCATCGATCCAAAAAGCTCTCAGCGGAAGCTAATCTCGATCCAACAAGCTCTTGGAAGCTCCTTATTGATTGCCTGTGAGGTATGAGGTGTGAGGTGTGAGGTGCTCCCTAGCTTTTATGACAACGATGCAACTTGGATGTTGATGATTATAAAAATTTTATTTATTTGTTCAACCAGTACGTGTACATGTACTGTGGACGCGCGAGGACTGTATTAGTACAGTCGTACCGCTTCCAAGCTCAGTGGCTCTGCCATCAACAGAAGGCTTGGAATTTGTTGCTATTCTGATGCCAGACATTCCTATGGTTATAGGTTATAGGGGAAGACGGCTTTGATCCAAGAAATCCCTGGGTTGGTTTGAGTCTTCAGAGGTGTAGGGATCAGTAGCGAAGAGAAGATCCGTGGAATCCGTACCGCACGGATTATCCCAAACCATGGAATCTGACGGTGTCTCTTCTTCGTTTCAATGCCCATGGGATTTGCAGACCATGAGATTTCCTTGGTTGTGCATTCCACTTGCACCTCAGGCGCTTAAAATGAACGACTCGACTCAACATACATGTACTTGGGGTCATTCAACTTTGAACTTGGAGCCAGAATCCAACCTTTTCGCATCCCAACCCGCAATGGCAAGAATACGTTCGCTACCGGTACAGTAGGTCAACAAGAGAAAAACTATGCATTACTATCTCTGGGTCAGGCCAGGCTCGCGAGTAGGGACAACTTCCGTACAGGCAGGACCTAGAGAACACACTTTTACATCTCTCCAATCTTCCGTCAACATGCGCGCTAGGCAGACATAGACGAAGCTGCTGGATCGATGGCTCAGAACAATCCTCAGCTTGGATTCGAGGGCAGCCCGCTACCCGTACCACCAAGTCCGTGACACAGCTCATACGAGACGGCTTCCAGTGGTCACGGGTACAGTACACCATGAACCCAAGCCCATCGGTACACGTGTACGATTGCACACCGATGTATCTGATCGTTTGTGCTTCAGGCAGTCTTCACTAGATGGTGTTGCTGTTGTATTTGTTGAGTCAAATGATCATTCGTTAGAAGGGGTCCAAAATGGGGAAAAACTGAGGCGTGTCCTCTACATTGAGTTGATTTCGTTCCTTCCGTAGGACACCAAGATTGCGTTCAAATATCTCTCCGTAATTGCCAGTTTGACCAATGATATCTCGGAACATTTGCCTGTACTCAATGCCAAACAGTTCCACCACCGGCATTTGACCTGCCGTAGCTTGAGTGATGCCCATCTCCTCTGCAAAGAAGGTTGCGTGTATAGTCCATTGGGCAAGGTCTGCCCACTGAGTATCATTTTGTCTGGTAACCAGTTCATGTGCACAGGGACTTGTGCCCTTCGATTCATAATAGTATGGTGTTGTGAAAGTGAACCCTTGACCTGTCGTTGGCTCCCGCACATCTATGGTCATGGTGAATCGGTCACCTGCAAGAACATCAACAGTGTTGTTGGCAAGTGCCTTATATCGAGTCTTTGGGTCAGACAAATTCACAAAGATTGTGCCAATGCCCTTGCCTGCTGACACGGCTGCAGCCAGGCCCCGACAAAAGTCTACATCAAGACCAGACCACTCCCCAGAGGTACTATTGTACTCTGCCAAACCAGACCGAGGGGTTCCGTCCTCGTCCTCCAGGATAACACCACAGTACAGATGCCCACGAGTCACAACAGCTTCCATGGTCCTCCCTGGGACAGGTCCTGGAAGCTCCTCTTCTGACAGGGATTCTTCATCCAGTTGCAGAGTCCCCAAGGGGTCCGAAACAATGAGTCCTGTGTTTCCTGTGTTGATTGAGTTATAACGTGATCGTGGCAACATCCCATGATAGTGACGTTCGTACATTTGGCCATAATTCCCAGCTGCCGCAATGGCTTGGGCAAACATTTGAGTATACTCTGGCCCAAACAAGTCTGTGTCCCAGAAACCAGCTGCTGTTTGATCTGTGACATTGAGGGCTTCTGCTGCTACCAGCGCTCGTACAATCCAATCACAAAACTCTGCCCATTCGGGGTTGTCTTGTCGAGTGAGCAAAGCCAAGTGTTCATGCGAAAGCAACTTGTCTGCAAATGTATATTCCCCTGTGTATCCAGCTTCTCGCGCATGTTGTTCATGAATTATAACTGTATCCCCGGCAATTACATTGCAGGTTCCATTGGCAAATTGTCGGAATAGGTCTCCGTGTCCAGGCACAAGTTTGGTTGCTGATCCAGGTAAATGAGCTTCCACAATGTCCTGTGTGACCGTGTTGATCATGACACACACTTGCAAATGTCGACAGTCGTTGGCAAATGTCTCGGCATCTTGTGCACACTGCACAAAGTTGGGCACACCAGCCAATCCAGTACCAGTATAGATGTAGGGCGTGGAATAGGAAAAGCCCACATGTGTGTGTGTTTCTCGCACATCCCGTCCCATATTCAAGGACACGTGAGAGGCCGATACATCCAATCTTCCATCTGCAATGGCAGCAAAGTGTTCCTTGAAGGTGAAGTAGGTGAAATCCACCTTGGAAGAATCATTGAAAACAGCAGCTGCAATGGCACGGCATAGATCAATGGTGAATCCAGCACCTTTCTCGACTTCCAGGGACTCTGGCTTGCAACGCAGAAATCCCCGTTCTCTCACCGACTGTAGAACAGGTAGGGCCGTGGTTAGCGCAGATGTTGCATCATTATCAATTTGGTTGTTGGTGATTGAGGTATCATTGCTGACAAGAAGCACGTCCTCAGAGGAAGACTTGGCGACCGCTGTCGGTACGACGACAGCCACAAGGATGACAACGAGCACCAAGATGGTCGAGGCGAGGAAATACTTCCTTCGGGTAGCATCTGATAATGCTTTGTTTGGATAGTCTGAAGACGCATTGCGGTTGTTGTGGTTATTGCCGTAGTTGCTGTTGTATGCACTGTTTCGGTCGCCGAGGTCAAACGCCGCGCTACGATCGATCTCGACAGTTTGAGCCTCGGCGCATTGAGAGACGCGAACGTATTCCTGCGACAGTCGCTCTTCGAATTCCTTGCGCAACCGATCTTCCAGTTCGGTCGCCATTTCTTGTTCAATTTCTTCTCGGGTGACCACCAGCTCGGCCGAGGCTGCAAGTTCTGTGGCCACCGGAAGATATGTTTCGGCTTCCTCGTGATGCGGCTCCAAAGGAGGAGGACCGGATTCCTCTTCTACTTGTTCTTCTTCGACTAGCAATGGAGCCGGCGGCGGTCGTTCTACCCCGGCTGCAACAGTGACTGGAAATGCGCCTGGTTGGGAGGGCCGGTCACAACGAGTTTGTTGTTCCTGCTGTTCTGCTGGTAGAGGCTGAATATTCTCGATAACCTTATCAAAGATCTTAGATTCCGCCTCGTCAACTTGAGCGGGAATGGTTGCCACGGAAGAAGCAGTGGTATTCGTGGTAGCAGCAGCTACAGAAGAACTCATATCATCATCAGGTGGGATCTTGGCTATGGTAGGGGGTATCTTCTTTTCGCAGCTGTCCACCACCTCCTCATCTTCGACTTGCTCATCCTCCTTTGGTTCGTCTCCTTTGGCTTCAGAAAGTTCTCCTCCCTCCTGCATCCTTGTAAGAGAATCTAAAACAATTTATCCAAATCAATGGGTGCTAAACGAAGGAATGTTAGGAGCAAAAGGCTTGTGGCGGAACTGGTCCATCATCTGTCATCGATCAAGGGATCAAGGGTGATGCCCAACCATCGAACCGAATTTGGGAGTCACTGGAATAAATAATGCTGGGGTGAATTGAATTGCGAAGAGAACGTGTTGAAGTACCAGCCGAAATAAAATAATAATGCAACGATGCGTTGATTATGTTCCAGTTTCCTTTTATGATGAAATGACAACTGACCTCTTGAAAGGGTTAATGACCGTTGTGCTGGCAAACAGCGGTAAATACTGAACCAGCTGGTACCTGGTTCTACGGTACGGACACGTCACCTACCGGTACCACCAGTCACAGCCACTTAATAAGTCAGCTGGAGCTGCGATACCTCGGCAGAAAGACAAATAATAGAAGAAAGAGGATCATATTTGAGATTGCACCCTTCTTTCAAGGTAGCCCTGGCCACAACACCCGACTTCGTTGTGTGTTGCCGCCCGGTATCATTCCCTCATTATAACCTTCTTTTTTATTGAAGCTAGCCCTGGCGACAACACCCGACTTTGTCGTGTGTTGCCGCCCGCTAACCATAATTTTACAGCTGTCACTCCCGTATGTACCTGTAACTTTTGTAGCTTCTGCTGGCTTATTGTATTGAGTGCACTAACCTTGAATGATCATGATATATTCCTACCCCTAAATTTGTAGAACCTTCAATTTCCAGTTTTGTTGGCTTACGACTATCTCTATCCCTATATTTTGGCTCCACCCGAACAGGAAATAGGAAATAGGAAATAGGAAATAGAAAACAGAAAATAGGATATAGGATATATAATATAGGAAATAGGAAATACAAAAAAAGGGTTAGAGGGCTCAGGCAGATACTACGGATACGGATTCGGATTGAACTGTCCTTTCCCTTGCTCCGAAGCTGATTTCCCACCCCACAAAGCAGATTTCCGACCCTCTGAAGGGAACTTTCCTTGAGCTTTATTTAATGGACAGTGTTGTCAGATAGGACTCCGACCGTTTCTTGAGACAAACTAAAGGTTCGACTGGCGCGCCGATTAATCCTCACATAGAAACGTATACAACCTATGTACGTGGAAGGAAAATCTCCTTCCCAGGTTGGGAAATCCGCTTCTGAGCATAGGAAAGGATAGTTCAACCCGAATCCATAGTAGACTGCCGAGGTAAAAAAATTCAAACAGCACCGGTAGAATGTTCAGTTTTAAGCTGCAGCAGGTCAATCCGAATGATTGTATTTGGTCCAGCAGTTGGTGTCCAGGTGTTGGTTTGGGATTTGGGAGTGGGACTTCGTTTTGGACTTTGTGCTCGACGTTGTGGTTCAGGCGTGGGATGTCACTATGGGTGTTATTGTCCTGCCGCGGAGGAGGGGGGGGGCTCTTAGACCTTCTTAAGAACTAGGACCTGGCTAGAGTAGGTCCAGCACTGTGGAGATGGTACCATACAAGGGGGGGTCCACGAGGTGTTGAGGCTACGGCTGCAGTACTCTAGCTGTTTGTCGCAGGCATCGCAGACCGCCTCTGTGGTGGGAGTACATGTATTTGTAACTTTTTGAGCTCTTCTTGGTTGCTGGTTTTCGCTTTTTCATCCCCTATGGGAATCATCCGTGCTTAGGCTCTTGCTGTTGTTGCTTACGAAATAAACGTGAGATGTTTGACTATTGATGAGTTTCTCAGTTGAATCACAGTTGTCGGAGCCAATTTGCTCTCAATTAAATTATGAGATTTTTGTGACTTTGCTCCAAGAAAATTTCCTGTGTGTCTACTTGGATGGTTGTTCAGGCTGATCAAAACCAGATGAACCAACCGCATGGAGACTGCAATACACGGCTCTTAGCCTTATTCGCGACTTGATCCTAGGTAGGGTTTGAGTTCGACTCATGACGTAGTCCTTCGCGAATAGTCATTGAGACAGGATTCTCATGACTGTTAGTCATACTAGGTTGTCGATGAAACATCGCTCTAGATATTTAGCCAGCGTGGAAAGCTTCCACGCTACTAGACAGCTACTAGCTGAAGTTTCCACGTGTTCCGGAAATGGACCGTGGAGTACATAGAGTTATTACCATAACATACGATATCACACTTCGAGGCCTCCCATGGGAGACCAACTTCAATGAGCTTCACAACGATCTCTCTCGTGGATTAGTTTTCGTAGCTTTCTAATCTCTCTCATTACTTTCATTCTCTCAAACTCAAAACATTCGAAAGATCTTTACACTAGCTTTTAGCGTAGTGCATTTTGTTAACAAACACAATAGCTTTCAGCTACCCTCAACATATTCCTTCACCATGAAGATTGCTCAAGGAAAGCATGCGTTCACCAACTTCGAGAAACAGTTGCGTGACAAACCCATTCTTCCTCTTGTGGACAACGACGAAGAAGCCGAGATCGACGATACTCGTGCAACCACCTACAAACTTCGCACCATTCCTGCAGACGCAAATAGTGCCAAGTACACTTTCAAGGTAGCCATCATCAATGGCTCCAACACTCCATGTGAGACCATCAAGTGGGCCACGAATATGGAGAAGGTCTTCGTTGGACTCAACTTTGCTGGTGCCGACGACAAACATCGTCTTCTCAAGGAGATGACTTCCAGCTCTGCAAAGAGTGCCTACGAAGCTGGGTGTGCAGGCAGTCGTGCTGTGCGTCATAACGCCCTTCGACAAATTGCTGTGAATGCAATTGCTCCACGCGACGTGACTTCTGGAGAAACCGAAGTCCAATTCCAGGCTCGTGTCCAAGCTGCATGGGACGGTGCAGCAGAACCTGCTCTAAGCGATGCTGACATCACCTTTGGAATCATCGAACAAGCCTGTCCTTACAAGGCTCTCAAAAAACAGAAACGCTTCATGCGTCGTAAGATCCGCAAGCCTACCGAGATGACAACTCGTGCCTACATCAACAACCTCACTCGGATGACCACCGATGAACTTCCACGTTTGCCACCTTTCGGTGCCAATCAACAGTTGAACCAGGACGAATTCATTGACATCATCTGTCATGGCATTCCTCGTTCCTGGATGCGCAAGATGGACGAACACGACTTCGATCCTTTCACTGCCGAGATGACGGCTCTCATTGGATTCTGTGAGCGCATGGAATCTGCTGAAGACTTTGACAAAGGCAGCGATGCCAAGCAAGCTACTTCGAAGAAGAACAGCAGCAAGAAGTACAAGTCTAGCCGCAACAACAACCACTCCTCCAAGAACGAAGGAAAGTGGTGTGACTACCACGAGTCCAGCACTCACGATACTGCTGACTGCATGACTCTGAAGAAACTCAAGTCCAAGTCCTCGTCTGGTAACGATAGCAAGCCAGCGTACAACAAGAACAAGACTTGGAAACGTAAGTCTGACGATGCCAAGTCCTACACCAAGAAGGAACCTTCTGTCCTTATGAAGAAAGTCTCCACTGCTGCGGTCAGCCAAGGCTGATCGCAAGAAGAAAAGCGAATGCAACCATGTTGCCAAGCGCAAGTCGGATGACTCTGATGACGAGGATAACTCCTCTGTCGGGTCCCTCAACATGATGGACAAGAAGATGGCCGCAGTCGACAAGGCTCTTGCCGACTTCGATTTCAATCAATCGAACGGAGAAATCTCCGTCTGAGGATTAGGCCAGGATGATGATTCAACGGAACCATGTTCCAATTTCTCATACCTAAGTGATGAAGATATCTCACTAACTAGTAAACAAGAATTGTTTGCAACTGAGGAAGTCTACGGCAAATTAGATAATTGCCTAGAAGCTGCTCAACTAGATTCTGACGATCTATCCAGCATTGTTAACCTCGTCCGTGGCCAACCACCTCGTCAACGTCGCAAGACAAGAGACCTCAAAACTATCGTCTATGTTAGATTTAACAGACGAGAAAAAGGGAAACAAAAACCCGTTACACTCCGTTGCTTACTGGATACAGGAGCATCCGGAACTTTGATTGCTCAAACTCATGCTAAGAGATTAAGCATGAAGGATCATGGGGGCGTCCAAACACTATGGACTACCCCTGTAAAGGAATTAAACACCAGCACGAAGTGCAAGGGTGCCTTTAGCTATGATTCCTGAGTTCCATGACGATAGGATTATCGAATGGGATTTACACGTCACCAAGAGCTTGGGGGCGTATGACATGATCATAGGTCGAGACATTCTCTCTGATCTAGGATTTAAGTTCGATTTCACCACCATGTCAGTGGAATGGGACGGCATATCTATTCCTATGAAAGATAGCGATACCAATGAAGAAGAGAACTTCTTCATTCCTGATCCTACAGCTGTCGATGACAGTGCAGATCGTCTCAAGAAGATTCTTGATGCGAAATACGAACAAGCTGACTTAAGGCAGGTATGCCAAAGTCAAGATCAGTTAAATAAGGAAGAGAAGGAACAGCTTCATTCCTTACTGACGAAGTACTCTGACCTATTCGATGGTACTTTAGGAAAGTGGCAGATGGACGACTACGAAGTAGAACTTCTCCCTGATGCTAAACCCTATCACGCTAGGGCTTATCCTATTCCACGTGTCCATACCAACACTCTTAAGATGGAGGTTGAACGTCTCTGCGAAGCAGGAGTACTCAAGAAGGTAAACCGTTCCGAGTGGGCGGCACCAACATTTATCATTCCCAAGAAGGATGGATCTGTACGATTCATCTCTGACTTCCGGGAACTGAACAAAAGGATTAAGCGAAAACCTTATCCGATCCCAAAGATACAAGACATGCTACTGAATCTAGGCGGATTCAAGTACGCTACTAGTCTTGACTTGAACATGGGATACTATCACATCGAGCTGTCACCTCACTCGAAACAACTCTGTACTATCGTTCTTCCATGGGGAAAATACGAGTACCAGAGATTGCCAATGGGCCTATGCAATAGTCCCGACATCTTCCAAGAGAAGATGGGAACACTCATGCACAACTTGGAATACGTCCGTGCATACATTGATGATCTACTCATCCTAACTAACGGCGATCTAGCAGATCACGTTGAAAAGTTAGATGAAGTTCTCCAAAGGCTTCGAGAAGCCGGACTTAAGGAGGTACCACCCGCTTTTAGTCATGAGTTGGGATTAAC